CGCCTTGTTGACGGCTGTATTTCGTGTAGCTGGATGAGTTTCTCATCGAGCTTTGGATTGTACAATAAGCAACAACATTTCTCATTCTTTATATCTTTTCGAGTCTGTTTATTTTCATTTTTACTTAGGGTCTATTTGATAGGCAAATATGGAAATGAATTCCAATTTCATGTTAGTTGAAAAATAAAAATTCATCAAACTCATATGAATTCGTTTTCCATGAAAATAAAGAAAATACAGTTTAAAGTGGTTGTACATTGGGATTCGGTTTCCATTTTTACGTTGCAATCAAACGACTAAAGTGGAATTCGTTTTCCTCGAACGTGACATTTCTCATAGAATTCATTGCAATCAAACGGACCCTTATTTTTAAAAAGCCATATTTTTGTTTAAAAGACAAATAAATATTGATTGGATCTCTCTCTCTCTCTCTCTCTGTTATTTATATTTTATTAAATTAAAAATTTTACTTATTTTACTCGTCAAAACTTAAACCTAAGTAATTCACGAGTCTTTTTTGAAGAGGACATATGCTACAAATTTAAAAAATTAAATACCTCAATTCTAGATATATTTGTACAAATATTACAGGTTGGAGATTTTTTTCTCATTCTTTTAATTTCTCGACACATCCGAAACCATCGTAATGAATTCTAACTTANGTGTAAGTATCCTGATATGTTGATCTTAGCTTCCCCACAGTTGTCAATTAAAAAAAAAAATGAGGAAAAGTTAATGTAAACAAGAATTAAAATATAATTACTATGGGAACGGATTGACTAAAATCTGATTTAGGAAAATTAATAAATGGGAAATAATAACAAGTGCACACTTGGCTGACAAAAGATGCCAAGTGTAGTCCCCCGTTGGAGCTCAATTCTCTAAAAAAATATTTTTTTAACTTATTTTTAACCACATATTCTTCGAATAAATTGATGTTGCGCATAAACTTAAAACATTTTCATACTTTTTAAATTGCACATTCAATTTTTAGCAAGTCTTCTCAAAGACGTTTGCTTGATGTAGGAAAAAATTGATCGGAGACTGAACTATGATCTTTGTTAAAAAATGATAAGTTATGCTATTTGTACAACTTTTGTTGACATCTTCACACTGGCAGTATCACATTCATCGTTTTAAAAACTTCAAAAACTGTTTTTTGTTTTTTTAATTAACGGCTCGAATTTTGAAAATACCAAGGATGTCGACAAGAGTTGTACAAATAGTTTAATTGAAAATTGATTAATATTGACTCTTATTACTAGGGATGGCAAAAAAAACCGCCCCGCCCCGCCCCGACGGTGCCCCGCCCCGAATGGGGAGAAAA